AGTCCTATTGGAAGTCATTGAGCATTTTTACTTAAATCTGTTAATCAAACATTTGAAAAAGCATTTTCCAAACTATTTTATTTTTTTGTTTTCTGACAGAGATAAGGAGGATGCAAAGATATGCAGGTATGGACACAACTCACACTGAGATCAAATGTTGTGCTTTATTCTTTTTATGATATTTTTTTCTGTTATTCCTATGAAGTACTCCTAAAGGTCATGCTTTTTTTTTCATCACACCTTAGAAAAGTTTATGTTATTCCCAGAAATAACCTCATTGTTCTGTTTTAAGATGTCTGTATTAGAACCTACTTCAGGTTCTGAAAGGTCAATAACTAAAACCTTGGATTAAAGCCCACATGACATAGTAAACGGGATCATTGTGCAACTGAAATGTTAGCTAGTAATGGTTAGCAGTGGGTAAAAAATCTAATTTCTATTAAGAGTTTCTGCAGCAAGGTCCAGTTGAAGCAATTTCTGCAAACGACAGGCACAGATTAACAGAATAATGAATTGATTAACGAGTTGTGTGTCTTTGCTTAAAGCAATAATTTAAGCAGTTTGTTGCTCTGAGAAAAAGACAACAGGCATTTATCCTATGAAACAGCTGCAACACATTCATACAGAATGAGGTTATTACAAGCATTAACAACCTCTTTCAAGTCGAAAATAGTTATGTTTATTATGTTATTTTTATAGATTTTTTAATATTTATTTAATTGGGAAAAGCTTTGCTGAATAAAAATTTCTTTTTAGAGTTGTAGGGAAGTCATATTTAAATTTAAAATTATTGTGGCTTAAACATGTATATAAATGTACTCTTCATCAGACGCAAAATGTAGAAAATTTCTATTTAAAAGCAAATCCTGTCTAAAAAAAAAATCAGTGTTTTTTTTCTTGTCATCTTATGCAGCCCAGTTAGTTATACATCAGCCTGTGCACCTGAATTCGGCCAATCATATATCATCGGTCATCTGTCAATCAAATTTTTTCGGTCATAGCATCTTGATTCATATGTCGCAGCTAATATACGCAACGGTTGAAATTATTTCCTTTCCCATTGAGTCCCGTCCCAGTGTTCACGGGGATGGACGTCTGTGTCTTCACCAAACCAAGCTTCTGCTGCCCTGGCGTCCTTTTCCACAACGTCTTCGTCCCTGCTTTCCTCCTCTAAATAAAAAATGTATGACGGAGGAGACTCATCCACGACCTCCAAAACTCTCCTCCTCTTGCATGTTTCCTCTGTCCATAGCGTTTCTTGACAGCGTCGTTTCTAAGTCACCAATTTAGTGCTACTTGGTCCCAATGGAATTTCCCATTGGGAAACTACTAGCACTAAGTTGCTAACTGGTTAGCAAGCTGCTTCCGAGACACCGGCCACAACAAATTTGCTTCTGAACCTTCTGCCACAACAATCCTGCCCTCTTGATAAACGACCACTCACATTCACTTTATTCACTCATTTAAAGTTGTGCACCACTTGGGAGAATTCAGAAATGAAACGGTTTGTACAGCCGCTTCCCTACGACTTTAAAGTAAAGAGTGTCTTCGCCAAGATGGCAGCACAAAATAAGACACAAAAACAAGCATGTCTTAATAGATAAATTTAAACTACCAGATTTATTAATTTAAGTGAGACCTCTGAGAATAAATGAGTCTGACTCCAAGTCATTGAAAGTTTTCTTAAAGGCCTCCATTGAGACTATGTTTTGAAGTTTTATGTGTTTCTGCAAAACATAACAAAAGAGGATAAAGGTAAAACAATGGTTTATTAACGTCTAGACCTCAACTATAGGAGAACTGCGCACAACTTGACCTGGAATGTCAATTAACTTTAGTAAACTCGTAAAGAGGATTAGTCAAAAATTCCTCCATAGAAGGGTAAAGATCTCAAAGGTCATAAAAAGGTCATTCCAGCTGTTAGATCAATGAGTTAGATTAGTATTTGGCTTATTTTGGTAAATCTATGACAGCAATTTGTTATATGTTACCTTTATTTTACTGTAAGGATAAATGTACCCAATTTTAATACCTGCTGAACAATAGATTAGCTCTTATACGATGGTATATTGCAGGCTTTGCTATAGCATGATGCCATCAACATAACAGTTGGGTCTACAGGGCATGGAAGTCTGACAGGAAGTGGTACTAAGAGACCAAACGTTATGAACTGTGTGTCCACAGTGGACGTGGTGTTGGACCCAGATACAGCCCACCCAAACATCGTACTGTCATCCGATGGAAAGCAAGCGGGCCGAGGAGAGGCGCTGCAGGTGGTTCCTGACAATCCCCTACGCTTCGACCCGGTTATCTGTGTCGTGAGCAAGAAAAGCTTCCGATCTGGGAGGTTCTACTTTCAGGTAGAGCTGCTGGAACAACCCAAAGTAATGCAAACCAAGGAAGGAAAATCACACCAATGCTCACATCTTGTTCTTTAAACCAGGTTGCTGTTGGGAACAAGACCTTCTGGGACCTGGGTGTGGTCAAAGAGTCGGTGAACAGGAAGGGTATGATCACCTCCACCCCGGAGAATGGCTACTGGACGGTTCGTTTGAGGAACGGCAGCGAGTATCGAGCCCTGGACTCTCCCTCTGTCCTACTGGCTCTCCAGAAGAAGCCAAAGACTGTGGGAGTGTTCACAGATTACGAGGAGGGGACGGTGTCGTTCTTTGATGTGGATGCCCGATCCCACATGTACACCTTCACTGGGTGTTTGTTCTCTGAGAGGATCTTCCCTTTCTTCAGTCCAGGAGTTTTTGATGAAGGGAAAAACAAAGAGCCTCTTATTATCACATCTGTCAGTCACGAGACTTGAAAAAAAAGCCTTAAATTGAGTCAGATATGGGTTTATACATCAATGTTCTGTATGTATTTTAGATAGATTTAAAAGATTTGATACAATTAAAATCCTCATTTAAGAGCGTCATCTCAGGAATGGCCACCAGGTGCTTATTCTAAACCTTAGTGTTTTTGAAAAACTGAAGCAAAATTGCTTATTTTGTTTAATGAATCTTATGGTGCATCTTTGTGTTTTGTTTTTCTTTGGTTTTTGTTTTTTTGTATGTTTTTTTATCTCAAATGTTGTTCTTTAAGAATATACTAAAAATGCAAAGGTTTAAAAATAATCTTAATTGTTGGAAGAAATCAGTGAAATATTTTTAGGTGCAAAACTTGTAAAGTGTGTCAGACAATTGGCTCATCAAGGCAGGCCTAACCCTTTCCCTAGAGGTGATTTCTTTTTCTTTGTGCGCTAATGTTTATTTTCCACTTAGTAACAAAAACTAGTGACTGAGCATGTTGGGACATGTTTAATCAGAGATGTTTAGGTTTTTTTGTTTACTTTGTTTACAAACCTAAAATGAAAGCAGAATGATGCTTAAAAAAAAGAAATAGTTTTGTATCCAACATTTTTCCAAGATTTTTATTTACTGTGTGTTTGTGTGTGTTTGTACCCGTCTAACCCTAAGAGTGAGGACATTTTTTTCCAATTTCACCATCAATTGAGGACCATTTGTTGCAAAGTGAGGACTTTTTGCTGGTCCTAACATGCTATTTTGCTAATGGTTAGGTTTAGGGCTATGGTGTGAATGGGTTAGGGTTAGGTTGAGGTATGCATTGGTAATGGTTAGCTTTAGAGTTAGGGTATTAAAAGGGTTGAAAATGACTGGAAATCAATGGAAGTCAATGAGAGTCAACATATGGTCCTCACTGCATATAGCAGAACGAGTACGGGTGTATGTGTGTGTGCGAGCTGAAAAAAATATCACTTATAATCCTACCTAACCAAGCATATTCTTTTACTTTTGAAACTTTTATTGCAGTTGTAGCATAAGTTCATAAACTATATCTTGTGCTCTACTGAGATGGGAATTTTAGTACTGTCTGACATTTTGTTTTCTAATATATGTAATAAAATACATCTCAAATCCAAATGATTTGGAATTGTGGTGTCAGATTTGATGTGTTGGTTCTTTTATTCAGTCTTATCATTTGTTTCCACGTCCTGTTGGAATAAAAAATTCTGTTAATTTTATAAACACCTCTACAATGGTCACAATTCCTGATTACTGTTCAACATTTGGTCAGTAAAAAAAACTGTTATAAAGGTTTTAATAGTCATCCAGGAAACAATGGACAAAAACAAGTACAACAGCACCCCCTTCTGGGCAGAGGAGGGAAGTTCCTTAAAATGATCTGATCAACTCTTTGGGGCGCGAGCTGCCTTTAGGTACTATTATATGACAACAAGAGCATTGCTGACACTGTGAATAACTGTGAATATACAACAATATAAGTGAAGCTTCAATTTCGTAATAATTTCTCCTAGTTTCGTTTTTATTCAGTCTTATATTCAGTTACAAAAAAATATTTTTGATGGGAAACTTCAGCTGAATCTTCAAAGATAAATGCCTACATGCTGTTTTTTTGATCAGTATTAATTTATGTAAATAAATGATACATTAATATAAGCCTTTGTTGTTAAATATAGTTTTTTTACAGAAAAGGAAAATGGAAATATTTTTTTAAACCAAACAAACTTGACTTATTTATTATTATTATTATTATTATTATTATTATTATTATTATTATTATTATTATTATTATTATTATTATTATTATTATTGTTATTATTATTACATAGAAAAGAAAACATTGTTATTATCTCTGTTGACTATGGAAGAGCAGCTCTACCATATTTAAAAATAAAGTCTACCATATTTAAAAATAAATACATAAATAAATAAATGCTCAATATATAAATAAGCACACAATTAATCCTCCCCATATAAACCAATAAATGTAGGTAGAAATTAAATTATAAGGTAATTTAAAAAAAAGACGAATAAATAAATACGCTAATTAAAAGAGATATATACATTTATGTCTAATTGTATAATTTAATTTCTAAAATGCGGAAATGTTGAAACACCGGGTGTAGTTTCAAGATGTAACCACTAGAGGCAGCAGAGGCCCCACTCTTCTCTTCAGGCGTCGTGTTACGCAGGCGCGAGCGAGGAAGGAAGGAGCTTCTCTTCAACATGGCGGCGACCATAGACAACAGCAATGCTGTACAGGCGACAAAGAAAAAGCACCTCGGGATCCCCGAAGCGGTGTTTGTGGTGCGTAAAGCCGAAGTTTCCCTGATACGCCGCTTTTATACAGTATATCCTCATAGTTTCTACCCGTTACTGACGTTCAGGGAGTTATATAGCAGCTCGGAGCCTTTTAGCTAACCTAGCAGCAGCAGAGCTGACAGGGATCTGATGATCCGCAGCGTGAGCAGGATGGGCGGCTGCCTGCTTCCATCTATGGTCATCACTGCCTGAATGAAGGCTGCTTTTTCTGTACTCGCTCCTTCATTGCTTATTACTGACTTTCACTTTGTTTAGCTGCTCTTTGTTCCTCTGAAATGCTTTTATTTGATTAATAGGCCTCAGGTTCCCTCTTTTAAATCTTACTCAGGCATAAAAACCCTTATTTAGTGCTGTAACATTATAACATTTAACATCACCCAATAATCTATTTGAATGAGGCTGATATAAAGCATTACACTGAAGCTCCTACTTTCCTCCTTTTGTCAGGTTTTATTTTTTTCCCTAAATATCTCTGTGCCAAATACGAATGCATCAGATGCAGTTAGGCTTAAGTTTAAATTCTGAGCTGCTAATAATCATGTTCTTCAGTTTAGAAGCAGAGCTGCACAACACCTGCTCCTTTCAGTCTCTGATCCTAAATATATATATATATATATATATATATATATATATATATATATATATATATATATAATCAGTACTCAAAGCCTCTTGCATAGAATAGATTAAAAGACTTATTAATATACTAATTAACCAGTTTTTCCTCTTAAAGATCATTTGCTATAAAATTATTACACAAATAAATGGGCTTTAATATGTCTGATAAAGTTAATTTGTTTTCATTATGTGTATAAATGCATCTAACAACCTAAAGGATTGGAATACTTCTGATATTGGAAACAAAATGTGATGATTTATCTTGAAACAATGTCAGAAAATGTAAGTTTCCCGTCTGTCTCAGGGATGGGAGACATCACAATCCTCCCTGTTCCATTGTCAGTTCTTGCATCTTATGGATAAAAACTCAAACCCAGCAGGCTGATTGTATCAATGGCATGAAAAGCACCAGTATCTTAAGCTTTGGTTAGAATATAGGAGTCAGTCCAGCTGCTAAAGTCTACTAGGAAAAGCAGATAGTCATATGTTGGATGCATACAGGCCTACGCTTTTATTCATCCTCTGCGCTGCACATATTTATTTATTTATCCACCTTACTTTTATCTTTTTAGAATATTTTATGTGTTTTTATGTGTAAAGTGTGAATGTACGTGTGAAAGGTGTACTACTACTGCACAAAAAATTGCCCATACTGGGACAAAACACTGCAGCTCTAGTATTTGTTGATTCTTTTACTTTTTTTTTACATTTACATAGAATTTAGCATTGAGCCAGATCAGTATCAACAGCAGAGAGCTCTGTAGAAGTCCCCACCTGCATCTCTCTCTCTCTGCTAATGTTATTAAATCTGTGTTTTCATAAACTGGTTTGGCCGTTCGTCAAAGGAGGCGCTCAGTCTGTCTCTGTTTAACATTTTTATATCCACCAGAAACCAGGCGGTCATTGTAGTTTCGTTGTGTTTTATAGGAAGATGTCGACTCGTTTATGAAGCAGCCTGGAAACGAGACGGCGGACACGGCGCTCAGGAAGCTGGATGAACAGTACCAGAAATATAAATACATGGAGCTCAACCTGTCTCAGAAGAAACTACGGTAACAAGAATAAATAAATTCACCACCTTAGTGTGTTTACAACAGCTTCACTAGAGTTCACCACAGGAAGATTATAGACTAATGGCTTTTTGTTTTTTTATTTTAATGTGAGCTGATCTGATAGTTTGTTCAATATCATCAGTTTTGTTACATGATTATTTTAAACTTTTTGTCTACTCTTATATTTTTTAATATTCTTTATAAATAATGCTTATCAATAAACAAACAAATGCCTGATATTGCTACTTAATGCTTTCCTAACTGCATTTATTCAAATAACACGGCTCACTTCTGTTTACATGCAGGTTAAAAAACCAGATCCCACAGATCACCCAGACGCTAGAAATCCTACGACACATGCAGAAGAAAAAGGTGAGTGATGCTTTCTCTGCTTCTTTGAGGAAGCTCAGTGTTTGCCAGACAAACTCTTATTATTCAGGTGGTTCAGTTTCCTTTTATACTTCGATCCCATGAGGAGCAACTGGAGGAACCTGAAGGTTCCTGCTGCTTTGGTTCCTAAACCTGGAGAACTAAACAGAAGGAGATTAATTCTGGAAAGGTTTAGATAAGATGGAAACAAATTTACATCTCTAGACTATAGACCTTATTCCATCTTCTTATTTTCTAGAGGAGGTATTTGTCCGTTTATCAATTAATTTGTCTTAATAACCATTCATCCATCTTTTCTTTGTATTTTTGCCTCCATTGGCTGAATTAAGAGTCTAAAACCTTTTAGTTATTGACATTAAACACCTGTAGACGTCCCTGTGGTTGGTTAGCAGATAAAATATCTTCTCTGAGCTGAACAAAGCTGCTGTTTGTGTCTCAAGTTGGAAATCTGTGCGTTATGTTGCTGACTGTCAGAGACAGACGTCAATAAAGATGTTCGTATTAAACATCTAAGGCTTTTTTTTAAAAATGACTCTACCTTGTTTTTTTGGTGAAGGAAACCACAGAGCCTATGGAAACACACTTTCTACTGGCTGACAACGTCTACTGCAAGGCCTCAGTGCCGCCCACTGACAAAGTGTGCCTATGGTTAGGGGTAAGTAGACCTTCTGGTTTTTTTCACACCTTTATGTCACTTTGAAGCTGAATGTCCTGAACTGAAGGGACTTTGATTGTAACGCCACTTTAATCAGTAGTTTCTTGCTTGTTTAATGTTTCTCTTTAAAGGCTAATGTCATGTTAGAATATGACATCAATGAAGCCCAGGCTCTCCTAGAGAAGAACTTGTCAACGGCGTCCCGCAACCTAGAGACCCTCGAAGAAGACCTGGATTACCTGAGAGACCAGTGCACCACCACCGAAGTCAGTATCCTTTGATAAGAGCAAAGAGCGAGCTGACTGAGACGAGGCTTCAGCAAACGTTTTATAACCACTAGATGTCACTTTTTGAAGAAAAAAAAACACAACACCCATGGGTGCAGGCAGAGATTAGTTCTCTCTTGTTTAGGTAATGAACAGCTTAGCTTCACAGGAGAAGAGAAATAGGCTGGGGTGTCATGTACTTCATTATAGGTTCCGTCTTAATCAGTTCAGCCATTTTATATTTCAAAACTTAAAAAATGTGCAGATCAGACTTATATCTACTTAATGTTAATTTTTTCAGGTTTAAAGTGTTTATTATGAGGTAGAGAGCAGTTTAACATCTAAAAACATATCCTAATATTTAAGCAATAATTTATAAGTGTGTCTCATGATGCGACTGGTTTTGATAACAAAGTTTCCCCCTTTTCTCCACAAAAGTCTAAAAGTACCGTATTTTCTGGACTATAAGGTGCTTCTTTTTTCCCACACTTTGAACCCTGCTGCTTATAAGAAGGTGCGGCTTTTCTGAAGATTTTTCCTAACCGCCAAAAAAGGGAAGTCAAAGATGGAAATGAAAGACTAAGGGCTAATTTTCATTTAGCACGAGAACGTGCTAGCAGGAGGCACGGTGGAGAACAAATGTCCCAAATTCACACATTTTGACATTTATTTGCCGCATTAAAATGGACAAACTAATTAATAGACTGGGCTCGACTCCTGCAGAGCTGAAATGAAGAGCTGACGAAGCTCCCTCTTTCAGTAGAAGCTCTTACTACTGCGAGCTAACAAGCTAACGAGAGCTAGCATTCTTCTTCGTCTCTACTCCAGAGGCTATATTGGTGAGAGACAGTTCAGTAGATATCAGCGGCTTGTTGCCCGGTGCGTCTTATATATATGGACATTTTCCACTTTATAGTGAGGTGTGCTCTATAGTCTGGAAAACACAGTAAATTTATTATTAAAGTTGCTATTGACATCAAATGTCTCCCAAATGTTGATAACAAGTCATTCAGACCATGCAGACAGAGAACCCCTGAACAGCCTCTGAAATCCTAATGGTGAGAAGAGAGGCTGCAGAAAACACAGCATCCGAACAGAAAATGATTCAGTTCTGCCAAAGTAAGAAAAAAAGTGTCAGTTAAAGGATATTCTTCCCAAAGTCTTTCAGCCATCCAGGTTTCTTACAGTCATCGCTGTAGATGAGAAATGCTGCGGGCAGGAAGAGAATCAGGAGAAGCTACTGACTGAAAAAAAAACTGCTGCTGTTTAGCTGTTTGTTTTGCACGTTAACTTTAACTTCTTGCATCAAACCTTATTTTAAGTATAGAGGCAAAATATTATTGGCTAGTCATTGATTTTCAATATAATGTAACCTTGAAAATGAAGAAGGTCTGAACCATTATGCTGCGTTTATACAAGCAATGAAACAATCATCAACTAATTCAGTAAACTTCATTAACTGAAGTATAGAGACTTTAAAACATGCCCTTAGCTAGCAGAGCAGTAATTATACCAAAATCCTAGAATAAAATAAAATAAATATATAAACATTTTACATTGAACATAAAATCTCTTGGTCCACCAATATGCTCTACCCAGAAGTGCTCAAGTGGAAAAGTTTTAGTTTCCCCTCGTTTATATTTCTTAAAAACTCTTCTTTAAGGAAGTTTTGCAGCCCTTGTTCATACAGAATGCCTTTTGAGGATCAGGGGCAGCAGGTTTACATGCAGAGTCTGTGGTGGACCTGCATCCTGTGGCGTGTTTCGACCGGCTGGCCGGGCTCTTCTTAAAGCGTTAGGAGCTTTCAAGTGCACCCAAAGCATCAAACGCTTTAAATCAGAACTTCTGATGCTGCATCCAAAGCGTGATTTCTGCTCCCGTCTGCTTAAAACCATCTAAGATGATCAATAAAGGTTTTACAATCCATTAAAAAAAATTATTTACATGAAATAGTGAAAGAGCTCTTATCACTCCGCTAAAATATTTTGTTACTGGACAATTTATAAATAATACCTACAACAACTGAGAAATCTTAAAACTTGCCAACAAAATATTTTCAATGTTATAATCTGGGTAGCTGCAGTCTTTAGGATCTAAAATTATATATATTCACCAATGTGGCTTAAAAATTTAATATGATTTTGTCAAAATCCGATGAAACGACTTATATTTTTTAGCTTTATAATAAAAATGACAGATCCTGTATATTACCGTATTTTCTGGACTATAGAGTGCACCTCACTATAAGCCACGCCCACTAACGTACATATTTAAAGACCAGCAAATACAGTACTTTCCAAAACTAGATTTATTTTTAATCCTCCCCTCTGGGAGGTGACCTTGATTAAAGAGAAACGCCTTTTTTTTTTTTTTTTTTTTTACATTGGGCCATTGATTTGACGTCATTGCATCATGTTCTACTCACCTATTTAAGTTTTTCATTTAGAGCTGTTCTGAAGATATTCCGTTAGGTTATATCCAGGTAACGTCTTCCTATGGGCAACGAGTTGAAGGCACAAACTAAACTGTTCATAATTTATTCTTTATGGTACACCAGCATTACTACCATGTAGGCGAATCACTGTCCCCCAGACATCCAAGGTTATATTTTTTAGATTTATATCTTTTAAAAACAGGCAGCCAGGGCCACAGCCGGCTACGCTCTACCTGCTCTTCTGTTTAATCGGCTAGCTGATCTGAATCGTTCAATTCCATTTGGAGAGTGAGATCATCTGTGGTAGTAGCACTAGAGATCTTCCAGGCATGTGAGGAAAACTAGCAGCAGTTCGGCGGACAGATGAATGAACGGTAGCCAGCGCGCGCGGATGACGTCAGACACACTCCGATTTGCTTTTAAAAAATATAACCGCACCCATAGGAAGCCGTTACTTGGATATAACCTAACGGAATATCTTCAGAACAGCTCCAACTGACACAAGACTCATATGGGTGAGTAGAACATGATGTAATAACATAAAATCAAGGCCCCAATGTATAAAAAAAAAAACGCCGTTTCCCTTTAAAACGGGCAACGCAATGCAAGCTTTGAAGCGTGCTTGTAAAATTGTAAATGTTTGCACCAAGTGGTTTTACACAGTCAGCTGGTTTATCAATCAGAAGTGAAAATTTAAGAACAGAAAGAGATAAAATGATGTCACTCTGGAAACCTATTGAGTGGGTTCGCTTAAAAAAATGCCCCCAAATTTCCCAAAAATTCAGTCTTCATAAACAAAAAATTTAATTAACACATTTTTAATCTTTTTTTTTCTACTTTTTCCAGTCCTACCTTCAGGTTTTAAAAAAGCAGCAGGAAATCCCCAAACATTTTACCCTATGAACCCAAAAATAACAGTGCAACACAATGGTGTAAAAACCCATTAAATCAATTCACGCTATATTAATTATTTATACTTTTAAATTAAAATAATTACTATTTATTTTTATATGACGTTTAATTACATAATTCTTAATTGTATGTTTTTTCACTTAATATAAAGTTTATGTAATTATGCATTTAAAAATGTAATGATGCATTAGAAAAATCTGTATTTATACTAGAACACTAAGACATTTTATTTTTATTTAACCTATCCAACTCTTTTAGAAAGAGATGCGTAATTAGATTTTTAACCGTATGATAAAGTGTACAGAAATAATCAGTGAAAGTGTGTCGCTCTTTGAGCATGGAGTTTATAAGAGCTTCTTAATTTGGTGTAAGAGTTATATTAGAGAAACGTTTCTGGTTGGTTTTGGTCTTAACTCTCTGCTTCCTTCAGACATGGCACGAGTCTACAACTGGGATGTAAAGCGAAGGAGCAAAGAAAACCTCCTGAAATCAGCAACCAAGTCTTAGTTAAACACAAATGTCTGTCCCCCCCCCAAACTTTGTCCTTCGTCATTAAAGGAAAATAAACCCAGAGCGGGAATCATGCGTGTTTTAAGCCCAGAGTGGGGCACGTAGAGGACTGAAGCTGCAGAGGCGTCTCCTCTGTCCAGCCCAGCTCCACCTTCCATCACCACTGTTTTCTCTTGATTTTTCTTTACTTTTTAGAAACATTTTTTCAAGTAAAAACTAACCAAAAAAAATTCAACAAGGCAGTTTTGTATTATTTTTCTATTGATTCAACTTTGTTCTGTTGGTCTTTTTTTATTTATTTCCTTTTGCAGATTCTGAGGGTTCACTAACGTCTATAGATTTCCTTCTGCATTCCCCACCGATCGTTTCCCTTGGCATCAACACTCACCATTTGTTTCTTCCAGTAGAGCCTGGCTGTTAGTTTAATGAATGTTAACATAAGCTGGTATCTTCGGTTCCTGTTCCTCAGACCTGCTCCACCATCAAACCTGCGGTGCTTCTCCGTCCTTTAAGCTTCCTCTTTCCAAATGTTCTCCCTTTCTGTTTTCCCCCTCTTCCTGCCACTGTTCTGTCCGTATTTATTTGTCTTCCACTGTAATCATTAACCAACGAATGAAGTAAAAAAAAAGAAAGTTTGGGAAAAGGGAATGAGACCTTCATTTGATGATTTGTTTGTCATTTGATGTAAACAAATATAGAGCGCAGCAAGTTTTGGCTTCATGTTTAACTCTAAAATGCAAAGGTTGGCTTTAATACAAGTGAGACCAAAGTACTGCAGCTCATTAAGTTTTTAAAGACCAGACAGCGCCGAAAACTCCTTTTAAGGCCAGACTGCATGTTAAAAATCATAACGATTCAGTTAGAAATGCATTAAATAATATTAACTCATGCTAAGAGAAGGCTTAGCCTTGCTTCTAAATAAACCGCAACACTTTTTAGTGTTTTCCTTTGTTACAGATGAGACCAGAAATGGAGATCTCTAGGTTTGGAGATAACCAACGTCCTATTGTGAAGCACAGGGGAGGAGGAGTGATGATTTGGGATTATTTAGCTGCCAACTTGTAATCATTAGTGTCAACTTAGATTTTTTTCTAGAGCCAAATTTGAAACCTTTTAAAAACTTAACAGAAAAGTGAACAAGGAGAAGCATAAATCTATAACAAAGTGACCTATAAGAAGAGCTTCCAGGATTTATTATGGCCCAGGTGATGCTCAGTCCTGCTGTGGTACGATCTATGATGGAAAGCTGTGCAGTAAAGGATGAAGATGTTAAAACATCTCAGCAAGATTAACAAATAATGGTGAAAACTAAATGGAATCGTTGCAGCTAAAGCTATCAAATCATGTTACTGTTCTTAGTTTTAGACTTTTGGTTTTTTAATTCTGGGTTTAATTTTGTTTCATAATTAGAGACGGCGTGAAATCTGTCATTTAGATTGGATTTAGTTCAATTCAAACAAGGTAATTAACATTTATTATATAAGATTTATACCCTGTACTACACTGCAAAGAAAAATAAAATGAATACAAAATTCTTTAATATTTTTACCTTTAGTTTGAGCAGGTTGATAAGATGATCTGCCAACAGAATGAGGATTTTACCCTTACAATAAGACCATTAAATATGCACTTGAAATTAGTCATTGAAGTATTTTATTTTAAATGCAAATTCTCAGTCCATTGACAAAGTGTCTGGCTTACCTGCTCAATTATTAAAAAAAATACACTTAAGAAAAGACGACTTCCTTAGATATCAATTTTTTTGCATTTTTAAATTTGTCCTCAGAAAGTTTCCGTTTAAATCCAGATATGTTAATATGACTAACGGAACAAGTCGATATAAATGACACCACTGCTGGGGAGCGTTTAGCTGATAAGCGATGTTAACGAAATAAACCAAGCTGTAGGCTTTATTTGAGCAGAGCTGCTGTAACTAAACACTGCAGAGTATGTTGGGGCAGTTCTACTAAATTACTCTGGATTTCAAGTCTAAAGGAGCTTTTCATTAAGTTAGCCACTATATCTAAAGCTGCTTTGCATGACTGAAGGAATGTGCTGCTGTTTGTGTTTGGAGATTTTGCAGAGTACAGCCTCTAGGAGCAGCAGCATCACATGACCTGCACTTCCTGTTTGGGAACACATAAAGCTCTCAAGGGGAAATTCAAAGATCTAAACTCCAGTAACCGTTTCGAGACAGTTGTCCGCTGAGTGGACTTCCTGGAAAGAAACCCCATCCTTAGTCAGCTGTGGTTTCTTGACTCACATGATGATTTTTCTTTTTGTTTCACTGGAATCAAGTCATTAAAGTGGAGCTTTGATCTATAAACTGATGAAAGGAGATGAGTCTGTGAAACATTGATGGTCTCGCCAGGTGTGTTGGATGGGCGACACTTGTACTGTAGAAGTTGCAGGTGATGCCTCCAAAGAGGGGCAGGATGGAGCCAAAAAAATGTGTAAAGCAACGACAGATTAAAATGAAATCTGTAATTTTATTGTCACTATATTATATACACTTTACACCACTTTATTCAGTGCACCTTTCCAACTGCTCGTTGTTTCTAATCAGACCTAAATGCATTGGCTCAATGCATTTTTACCCTGTAGACATGCAGACAGTCTGCTGCAGTTCAAACTTAGCAAGAAAGGTGATTTACATGCCTGGGAAAAAGGCATGTTGGTACCACAACCATCTCTGGTTAACAGAGAATGTTCTGAAACCGGAAATAACCACTGAGTAGTTCTGCGGTGGCAAACGCTTTGCTGATGCTGAGGTTTGAGAGGAATGCTCAGAAATATAAAAGTAACACAAAGACCACCCACTTGAGCATCTCTAAATGCCCAAACCATGAGGCAGACGGGCTACTGTAGTAGAAGACCACACCGGGTGCCACTCGTATCTGCTGGGAACAGGAAACTCAGGCTACAATTTGCACAGGTTCACCCAAATTGGACGATAGAGGATTGGAAAAACATTCCCCGGTCAGATGAGTTTCTGCTGTGATATTTGGATGGTTGGGTCCACTAACATGGAGGCATCCACCCTGCTTTCCATCAATGGTTCAGGCTGCTGTTGGAGGCTTAATCTTGTGAGGGATATTTTCTTAGCACACTTTGGGCTCCTTAGTACCAATTAAGCATCATGTCAACACCACGGCCTACCAGAGTGTTGGTGCTGACCACATCCATCCCTTTATGACCATGGTGTACCCATCGTCTGATGGATACTTCCTGCAGGAAACGCTCCATGTCATAAAGCCGTAATCATCTCAGATTGCTTTCTTTAACACGGCAGTGAGTTCACTGTACTCAAAAGGCCTCTACAGTCACCAGATTTCCATCCAATTGAGCACGTTTGGGATGTAGTGAACAGGAGAATGGCTTCATGAATGTTCAACCAACAAATTTGCAGCATCCGCATGAAGCTATCATGTCAATATGGACCAAACTCTCTGAGGGATGCTTCCAGTTTTGTTGAATCTAAGCCATAAAGGACTGAGGCAGTTCTGGAGGCAAAAGGCGTCCAACCTGGTACTGGCAATAAAGTGGCCAGTCAGTGTATATTTCTATAAATGATTATTCTTTATCAGATACTACAAAAACCTGTCACTTTGTCTTTGGTTTTGTTTCTACAAATACACACTTTAAACTGAACCATCTAAATGCTTTTGATGTTTATTGGAAGTTTCTTCCAGTTATAAGGGAATTTTTCCTCTCCACTGTCGCTACAAGCATGCCTGATGTGAGGTACTGCCTTTGAGTCAATGCAATCAACTGGTTTTCCTTAGATAGAAAACTGAATCAAGTTGACTGTATGATCTGGTTGAACTGTCTATAAATGCATTGAGATGACATTTTTTGTGAATTGGCGCTATATAAATAAACTGCGATGGACTGGTGACCTGTCCAGGGTGTACCCCGCCTCTCGCACGTAGACAGCTGGAGATATGCACCAGCACCCCTCGCGACCCCACTTGGGATAAAGCGTGACAGAAAATGGATGGATGGATAAATAAACTAAATTGAACATTAAACAATATGTAGGTTTGATCTGTCAAAAAAGCAGAATAAGAACATTAATAATGCATATTTGCCAAAGTTACATTCAAAGTGATAAAGCCAAACCCCTATTTAGAATTAAATCCAAACTTATGAACCAAAGGGGCGCTCTCATTTTTTTAGCTTCAGAACTACTCAAAAACCGTCAAGTAATTTTAAAACTAAATATCACAGCATTGAAAAACATTTATTTGTAAATATAGTGAATATTATTTTTATTCACTCTTTACTGCTGTTTTTTTAAAAGGCTATTTTGGTCACACTTTAACAAATAAATTCTATAACAAAGAAAAATGTTGAAAGGATCAAACAAATAAAAGTAAACTAAGCGTGAGCTAATTGTCTCTGATACAGAAACAAAAGAGGAATAGAATACGATAGAATTAAATTACGTCTAGTAATTTAAATGACAGCTAGTTAGACTGACCACTGCAGCAACATGCAAAATCCACTGTGATGTTCATTTATGTGCATTTTCAAATTACAGTGCAAGAATCCATTTTACAATATTGAAATCCAGCATTTTTATTCTTTATCTGGTGCATTGTATTGAATTGAATTATTCTGGGTTGTATTATCAGAGAAAAGCTTCTAAAACAGGCATCCCCAAAGTGGGTCCTCCAGGGCCGCTGTCCTGCAGGTTTTAGGACTGACTTTGGGGATGCCTGTTCTAAATGATCAGGTTTTTCTTCTTTTAGCCATGCAATTGAACAACACTGAGGTTGTGATCAACAGGAAGATAACCACTGACCTAACAGGGCAGATCTATATCCATAGCATAACAGACCCCACTTTACCAGCCAATATGAAACCTCTGTAGACAAATAGAATGCATCTATGCTGGGTGTAAACACTCATACAGAGGCAATGTATCAGACACAGTCAGCCAGCAACATAACTGACAGCAACCATCGGAATTTCTAAGGAAACAGGCCCACATCACCACAGATCCTCCACCATGCTTAACAGCTGACAAGATGTTTTTTTCTACTGCAGTCCAAGTAGCAGCTTATGATGACTTTAAAGATGGAGGTTAGTCTTTTTATCATACCCTATAGTGGAGGATGTTCTTTTTCCGGGTGGATCATCAAAATAAGTGGTCCACCTAATTGTCAATCATTCTGGTCATATATTTGCATAAGGTTGTCCTTCGTGTTTGTCCCCAGGTAGCTATATTAACGGTAGCGAGCCTGACATAATGGAAAAATTGCTAATATTTTACTTATTTTGGAAGGTAAGCTTGTATGAGCGATGCAAACAGCAACTTTTAACCAGAGCGTGCATGCTCTCACGCGCGTTTAATAGGCGTTCCCCCTCAGGAGTGCGTACACGGTTGTGCGTGTGCATTTTTTTTTAAAGTGGAGAGGGCGGGTCTTTTCAAAAATTCGCGAAAATCCTCCACCATACAAGTCAATACAAACGAGTAACTAGCTGGTTCTGGTTGGTCTTTTATATGATTTAATGCAATATTTCTTAAAAGTTTCTAGTTCAGAATAAAACTAATTGTACACATTTGTTCATTGCTTATATTTCTTTTTAAAAATGGCAGCCGATTTTACTTTGTTTACCTTAACAAAACGTTGACTTGGTCGAACACACTGCTTTATTCTTCCATGTTAAAGTTTAAAAAATGTTTCTATACAACACAATTAAGAAGGTGAAGGTACGTTTTCGTTGTTCATTTTCTCAATTAAAGCACATTTTTCTGTATTCAATTATTTAAAGAGAAGAAAAGGCCAAAATTGACCCTTAGGAATGGAGAAGATTGTGGCTTCCTGATAACAAACACAACTCTTCAAGTTCAACTTCTGAGTCTCAATTCCTGTTTGCAACTAAAGTTTATTTTTTGTGTGCATGTCCTGTTTAGGCAATACTGCTCCAGGAATAGATTTCCCAGAGCAATCTGATAGTCCGACAGCTTTGCTTTCACAATCAGACCAGTGGGACTGTTTCCATAAAGTTCTGCTTGATACTTGAATATTAAACACCATTGAATGTTATTTGGGGAGTAAAATTGTATACAATGGACAATGTTTGTTTTTGTTGTTTTTTTTTGCCTTTTTGCATCTTCTGCATTCAAACTGCAGTGACATGCTCAGGCACAGGTTATATGGTACCATCTGTGTGATTCTGACATGTGAAAGCGAACATTTTAACAGTTTCTATGAAGTTTTAATGCAGGGCAGCCATATTGGATTATGAGGCCAAGTTGGTGGAAACGTCAGACTTTCCCATTTCAGGATCCATGTCTGCTCATTTTCCCAATATTTAACTTAGACATTTTAGATACTGAGTAAAAAGAGGCCACATTAAAAATTAATTTATAAATGAACGCAATCATACAGCCAATGGATAGTGTTGTTTTTTTCCTATAAATTATAATAAAATCAGAAACTATTTGAATCATATAAAGAAATATTACATCACTATAGTGGTGCACTGAAAATATGGCTGCTGTTTTGAATAAAAGGTCTGAGAACCTAGAAATGTAAGGAAACAGTCCAAATAAAGTATATTTGTTGTGTTTTTCTTCTCTTTTTTTTCGATTTTAGAATTTCTTCTGAACAGGAATAATGTGATTGTAATGCCAGTCACTCCATTTAAAGGTTTGGAAGAAGCCATATAGTTTTAAAGTTGAAAGCTGCGTCTGGACTCCTATGCATCCATGAAATGAAATGACAGAAAGAGCAAACGGCAGGTATAAAATCAAGATATCTTGTGCACTGGGAAAAAATCCAAATCTAGATAAGTCATTTTTTCTTAAAATAAGTGTATTTGTTCTTGGATTAAGGAAGTAAAAGAGACATTTTCCCAATGGAACAAGACAATTTACACTTAAAAAAAGAAAAAAAAACAATCGCATTGTCTTATTTCAAGGGCATATTATCTAACTTTCTTATTTTATGAGTGAAAATACTAATTCCATTGGCAAACTATCTAATTTACCCACTCAATTTAAGGGTAATTAGACTCAATTTAGACATTTTTACTTATTTCTAGATCGTTTTTCCAGTGTGTTAAATGACAATCTAATAATCTGCTGGCAGATCCAAAGCTTCTTTAACAAACTGATGACTAAACTGTAGCGCTAAAAACTGGTGTCTACTTTATAACCTTTAAGATCAAAAAGCTTCAAGCAACAGAGTTTCAATTTCTTTATACGCATCAACTGTTTTCGTGTTAAAAAAGTGTAAAAAAAAACAAAGATAATAAATAATAACATTAAAAATGACAAAAAAATATATCAGTATTATTTCTTTAATTTCCTTGTCATGGGTTGGAATGCATCTTGAAATATAATCATCAACTTTCGGCAACGATAAGGTTTAAAATCAGTGACTTAAAAACCACATTTAAACCAGTTTAGATCTTCTCTGTTATATCGTGAGCCTCACATGTACTTTAAAGCAAAGCTATCAGGGCGATGAGATAAGAATGCGGGGTTAAACATAAGCGTAAGGAAAAGTCATACATGACACTGCATTTTCACAGTTTAACAAAAGCAAAACGACCTGCTTGAACTGAACAGATCTAAATCCGGTAGAATGGATGTGACGTGTTGGTCGGGTCGACTCTCTATGCCAAACGTGCGTTTTTTTTGGTTCTGTAGTGTTTCTATGGAGTCCGTTCACCAAGCGTCCCTTTGTGTGATACAGTCCGTCTCTGTTGGTTCGGCCTAGAACTGAAACATACCAAATAAGGCTTTTCCTGTGTAGACAGACTTAAGGTGCTTTTCTATCCCAACAAACTCAAAGATAGTTCCACAGATCAATAAAACAGACCCATATGGAGATTTCTGAGTCCACAGCTCCACCAGGATTATTCTGCTGTACACTTGTCTTCCTGCAGGAGTCCTTTGTGAACAACAGGGAGGGGTCATGGTACTGGGTAACTTTTACACTGATAGTAGACATGAACAGGTCAAAGTTCAGATTAGCGGATGTCTTTAATCAGCTTCTGGCAGGCCTAATCACTGAACTTTCTTTCCTGTTTAGTCACATTACAACCACTAACTTTGATATGTTTTACTGGGATTTTATCCAAGAGCCATTTCACCCTGCATCCCTAGCAAACTAAAAGTTGTTTGGAGCTGCAGAATATTACATGATCTTTAATAAAAACACTACTAATTATTTTTGTTAAATATCATCTACAGAGAATCTGTTGCCATTTTATTGAAAAACTAAAAGTTTATTGCAGTGTTTTAGTTTTTAAATGGCTGGTTTTCCTCCTGCAGCAGTGTGTCGCAGTGAGCTTGTTGCAGATATTTTTGATTTATGCCCAATATTGAAGCGTGATCTGCGCTATGTTATTCCACGCCACAGCAAAAGAGGGACAATCAGGAACTAGCTGTGGGTTTAGATACGGCCGAGGCGGAGAGGAAGTGGAAAAACTCAAGAGGCAAGTTTGTGTGACGACGGAGGGACATGAGGGCCAAAAAGAGCGGGGATCCAGGTGGAAAAAGGGTCCCAGCGTTTTCTCACACCTTGCTCTTCTAGCTGGTCCATCTTCACGAGTTGTTTTTAAAAATGGCGGTCATACAAACAAATCAAGCCGGTAAGGTACCAAACAGGAAATACTCATAGTGTAAAGGTGTGTAGAGCAGATTTGACCACTCAGAGGCCTCCTGTCTGCTGTCATCTGCAATTTTGTAGTGTCTGGGGAAGGGGCGGGGTCATAGCTGCGTTAACTGCGACACACACGCAGATGACCTGGTTTCTGAGTATAAACCAGCCTTAACTCTTTAGCACCAAAAGTCTCTTATTTGATTTTGTGAGAAAATTTACATTATTAATGTGATATTTTTGTTCTTGATGGATTTATACATGTAGTGAACAGAAAATCCAGAATAAATTGCAGAGAAATTACTGATATATCACAAATAATCTAACTTAAGTTATTAAAAATCCATTTTTTGTCAGAATGTTTACTGATATTACTTTAAAAAATCTATTTTTTTGTCAATTGTTCCATGGTTTAGGCTTAACAGGGTTAAAAAAAAGGAAAAAAACCTAAATGTTTCACAAAGAGGAAGTTTCCTCATTAGTGTACAATTGTATGTAAAAAAAAAATAAACACAGTTTCCAAACTAATGACAAGAAATAAAGATTTAGAAACATTATGTTGTCTGTCTAAAGTGTCTAAGATGATATTTGTCAATATACTATATTCTGAACCATTAGGTGTATTGAGATCCATAGTGGAGGATCAAAAGAGTTGCTTAAGGCTCCGGGGCCGCAGGTCGCAGACCGCTGCTATAGACCCCTGCTATAGACCCCTGCTTTAGGCCCCTGCTATAGACCCCTGCTAGACACCCCTGCTTTAGGCCCCTGCTATAGAGCCCTGCTAGACCCCTGCTATAGAACCCTGCTATAGAGCGTACTTTATTGGCAACAAGAGGAATCATTTTGTTTCCTTTCAAAGCAGTAAACCCCAGCTTGCATACTATTTTTTTTGTATGTGTAGCGTTGATCAATTTTAGAGGTAACTTTTCTGCAGTTAAGGCTTTCCTTTTATCTGCCTTTTTTTAAAATCTAGCCACAGATTCTCAATAAGGTTCAGGGTTGGACTTTGACTGGGCCAATCTAACAGGACTCGGTCTGTTATTGTTTGCAGCTTTTCTAGCAGCTTTCCTGCTTATTGAGACGCTAACAGCTTCCCTGTACAGGTGAGAAGTATACCAACAGCATGTTGATGCTGTTAGAAACGCTCTAGTCTTCTATAAAGACCAGCTTAATGGAGGGCACCACTATTAATCATCTTAGTCCAGTCAACAGGTTTTCCCTCCTGAGCTGAGAATGTCTGCAGCTCCTCCCATTTTAAGATGAACCTACATTTAGTTTTTTCAGATTAATACTTTGCTTACCAGGCTTGTCAAATTAGGTGGATAATAATGGGATTCTTTAGAGGTATCATATTAATCAGATTTATTTTTAATCTAAAATATTTGAAAATCCTTTTTATTTCCCCTTTATTTATGTAGTACTTGGATTATTCCATACATTCAAAACACATCAGGTTTGTGGTTGTAAGGTGTAAATAGATTTAAAAAGTTTAATATTTAGGTAAAACATGAGACCTCTGGGTTTTTTCAGACTTCACATTCCAGAAAACAATCTTTTCCTGGAATGTGAAGCGAGATGTCAGCCAAGGAGAAATGCTTTTAATGAGATGTGAGTGGTGTTTTTTTTTTTTTTTTTAAGAAATGGCCAAATAAAGATGGGATTACTTTAATGTGATTATAAATTGCATATTAAGAGTTGTTTAATGGAAGGAGTGATAATGGGAGAAATTAAAACGAAACAGAGGATCTGGTTTTCTAAGGCCTTAGCGAGACTTTCTGGGAAAGCAGTTCCATCAAAGGAGCCACCAAAAATAACTTTGAGCCTTTCCTTCTGAGAAACAAAACATGTACAGAAATGGATCCACCCCTTTGAGTCCTCCATCCATGATTATGATGTTCATCCACCCCAACGACCAGCATCTGCACTGGATTTCTCCCCCCGTCTGTCTGATTCCAGTCTGAAGGAAGAACACCCGCAGCGTTCTGAACTGTTCTGTTCGGAGGGATGACTCCGCAGTCTGTCGGCCATATTCCGCTTGGCATCCACTCCTTTTCGGACCGTCATTCCCATCATCAACACTCTTCCCAGATCAACAGAGGCAGCGGCGGTCACTCTTGGTCACCTCCTCCGACGAATGTACCACGTTGGGAACGAAGCCGCTCTTCACGCCCTCCCAGCCCTCCTGGATGGTGATGTCCCCGGACCGAACCAAGGCGAAGATCTCCCTGGTCAGCTCGGTGAAGGCGTGCTCCACGTTGATGGCGTCACGGGCAGAAGTCTCAATGTAGCGCATCCCGTAGGCCCCGGCAAGCTTCTCCGCTTCCTGCTGAGTCACCTGCAACGTCAGAAGGATTCTGGTCAACTTGTTTACTAGTTTTTCTTAAAGTACGCTGAGACTAATACACAAAATTATGCTTTCTCCCCTCTCGAGTCAATTGCAATTTTTAGTCCTGAAATGAGCACGCTCACCATTAACGGCCATGTTTCTCACCATAATCAGTGAGCATCATCTCCACTGACTGTTTCACCAGGATTTGAGATGGAAACACAATAGATTTGTCTGTTTATCATCAGAGGATGGAAGATTTAATCCTAAATAAACAGGCTAATAGAGCTCATGTTTTATTTAATGCTTTTGTTGCCATTGTTGGACACTTCTCACTATGACATTTACACTTCTTTTCTCCATATACATTTCAGTTAAAAAAACTTAATCATAACTGTTTTATTATGTTTTTTGTGTAAAAAAGTGCACATAATTGTGAATTTGATGGTCCATGTTTTCTTAATAAATATGAAGGGTGGCATTTGCAGTCAGACTTAATTACTCTTATTGATTTAAATAAAATCCAAATAAAATATTTACAAAAAAAATAAATAAATGACAGCAATGAAATCATGGTGAACACACTATACTCACTACAACGCATATTAATGGTTGCCATGCTGTGGGAATTGATGGGGAGGTAATTGATACTGAATAATTCATATTAAATACATTAAATTAATACCAATCTTTTATCTAGATTCTAATTCATTTAAACACATTTATATTCCGACCTAATGATACATTACAGTTAAACATTATCACTAATAATGTGCTATAAACAATACTTCTCACACTTCAAGATTAAGTTTCACTCTTTGTTGGTTTATAACACAAAATCCATGAAATATATAGAAAAATGTTTGTAGTATTACTGTCAATATTGTGAATTTCAAGGTTTATACGTTTGCAAGGCACTGCGTAAATAAAGTCATTTTTGATGAGTTTATTGCCTCTCTGCAAACTGGGAGTTTAAACAGCTCATCTCATCCTTCATTCCAGTCTGCACTGCTCTGAATATGAATGGAAACCTCATTTTTTATTTTTGGTAAGATTCTGCTGCATTTTTTTTCTCACCACATCCAAAAATCAGATTCAGATTGAATCCCACTGTTTTCCTTGTGCTCACCTGGCGCTGTGCCTCCAGGTCACACTTGTGGCCCACCAGCAGGAACACGATACTGTGCGGCTGGACGTGGCTGCGGGCCTCTTCCAGCCAGTCGTGGACGTTCTGGAAGGAGCGCCGGTTGGTGATGTCAAAGAGGAGGAGCCCGCCCACAGAGTTACGGTAGTAGGCTCTGGTAATAGACCTTCACAGGGCATTCAAGGAGAAATTAAACCTTTTATTAGTTAAAAAAGCAAGTCTTGACAATCAAGGTGGTAGTTTGCATACCATGTGTCAAGGTTAAAATGTTGAGGTGAAAAGATGAGCTATGAAGGACTGACACTGGTTTGTCTTGGACCAACATTCTCCTGGGTGAGAATACCATGATTCATTTGAGTCATGATGTTCATACTTATCTCAAAGAATAAAGTAGAACTTAAATACAGACATGCATTTTAAAACAGACAAATGTGTCTTTCTCTTTCTGATTCAGCTTTGCTGCCAAACAGGGTGCACACAAACATAACTTTACTTTAGGCTTCAAGAACTCACGCACACACAGGCATGATACATTTGGGGGATTCAAACAATAAATATAAACAATTAATAAATAAATTTCCATGTTCACGTTCTATTTATGCTAATTTTCTTATATAGTTTCACATTAGAGCAGCTTACAAATAGGGACCTGATATACAAGAATTCTAAACAACAGGTGCTAATTTGCCCTGTTGTGTTAAAATCTTTTATTGTTTGCACATAGTGGGCGTGTTGCAGGTGTGCAAATGTTAAGATGTGAAAATGGGTTCTTTTCTGCACCAATAAAATTAGCAAATTGTAAAAGTTACAGGCAGCTTAAAAGCATCTAAAAAGAAAGATTAGGTTCTTAGCCATGAAGCTGAAGGTAACGAGATAGAGAAATACATCTAAATGAAAATTACAGTAATATTATTTTAATGTATTTTATATCAGTAGCCTATCTTACCTTTCTAAGCACCATTCAAAATTACAATGAATAAATAAAATAACTTGAGTTAGATATAAAAAAATAAAATGCCATAAAACCTAACAAAGCTGTCTTTGTCTGACGACTGATGGTCCAAATATGTCTACATTTGCACAGAAACTCTGTTCATGATCTGTCATTGTACCAATGCCGTCTTTGTGGCAAAATGAGAGAAGTGTTAAAATACAGCCAAAAACTACAGCCTTATTTGAATCTTAGATTTGGAAAACCGCTTTAAAAAGTAGTTAAATGTTTCTCATAACCTCCACACATATATTTGTATGGGGCATTCATTACAATAAGATCTGCATATTGATAAGGGCACATATGCAAAGAACGGTTTGAACCTGCTGTCTGCTGAATTGCAAATGCAAAGCACTTCACACCTTTGGAGATCTGAACTGCACCTATAAACATGTTTAAAGATGTGCAAACCTTCTGAAGATCAGGCCTTTGGTCTGTAAGGCAGGTATTCTGTTCATTAAGGTTGGGTTAAGCTTGATGTACACACAATTCCCGCTAAAAAAAGAGCCACTTTTCACAATGTCTGCAGGTTCATTAACAGACCTGATGATCCTCTTTCTAGGCCTTATGCAGTTTGGGTATATTCTGTTTGGTAATAGAACTGACAGAACAGACCAAAGAATTAGCATTAGAGATGACCAGCAAATCCCATGGCAGGTACTTCTTTACACATTTCAGCAGTAAGTGCAGTCTCTACTGGTTCTGAATCATGCCCATACCTGAGGACCATCATGGATTCTGAGAAAGAGTGACTGCTAAAAACTGTATGTGTAGACACAGTGTTATTGGGGGTAGTTAGAGAAGACAGTGTGGGTGATGTCAGCCACAAATTAGTGTGTGCTGAGCTGGTTAAACTACATGTGGTTTTGATTGCACAGACTGAACAGCCAATCTGCTTCTTTGCTCAACCAAGACTCCTCACTGTCCTAAATAGGAGCAAAAACTGTAGGGTTATCTGCAAATGTCAGTGGTTTGGAAGATGGGTCTGCTGAGGTGTAGTAATTTAGAGAAAAGAGGAAGTGGGTAGAGAATACAGCCTTGGGGGATCCCGGCACTAATAGTTTTTGTATAGGATAAGATGCTGACCAGTAGTCTGCAACAAACCATTTGGGAAGGGCAGCACTGCATAGCACAGAGCTTTTAGAGTCTGGAACCTGCTGTTGTGCCATATGCCATGATCATACTTTTTGGACATTGGGAACAAGTGTCCATATTTCATCCTGATAGGATGACCAGAGGAGGAAAATGCAGCTTTGGTGAATAACAGCTGGGGGACTTCTGCAGCCCCCCCTTTTCCAGCCAAAGCAGTCACGTGGAAGCCACCAGAAGTGTGAAAAACCACTCCCCTCTGTAATGAAAAAGCAAAACCACAGAACACACAGGATTCTCTCTCTTTTTGCTCTCCTCTGCTCCAGCAGCCTCTTTTTGCTCACTTCTGCTCTTGCGCTCAAAGCTGGGGCCCACTGTGGCCCACAGTGGAGATGCGGGCCCCAGGGGAACCGGATCCCCAGAACCATCAAGGATAAGTCAGAACCCTTCAGAACCAAACTGCTGCAATCAGACCTTTTGCAACACATTTCTCTTGAGTTTCAGAACTTACAGAGCCAAACTGGATGAGAACAATGCCCTGGGGGTGAGACTGAGGGGACCCCTGCTGTGAGACTGAGGGAAAAGAATCCCTGACTGCAGAGCTGCAAATGGATGAAACTCAAGCTTTCCAAATGGACATGGAAATAGGTTTGCAGGTCTGGCATGATTAGGGACAGAACAAGCAATATGTCTTTTGATGATGCTAATCATATCGTGTGTTTACTGCTGAGTAAAGACAATGCTAATTGATGCTAAAGAATGGACTGCATGCTACGCTATGCTACAGGAATATGTGTTGAGCTGTTGCTAAAGCTTAGACAAGCTTTATTCACTAAGGATTTAAACACTGATGTAACATTAGTGTTGATGTGTTCCTCAAATGCTCTTTACATTTCCATTAGCAAGTATGACCAAGAGTCATTTAGTGGAATCCTGATGTCTATTCACTGCTAGCTATTTCAAAGTGGGTAAAGAATCATTTAACTAAAGGTTATTGGTTCTTGATTAAGCAAATAATTTAATAAAACATTATTTGGCCAAATAATGTTTTATTCACCTCATGGATTTGCATTGTGAATTGGTCTGAAAACATTCCAATTTCTTTAAAAATAGTGAAAAGATAATTTGATCATATCCCAAATTATTCCAGATAAACTTTGGTTTCAAACACAGAATCCATCTTAAACTCTAATATGTTTTTCAACAGTTTTCCCCTTCCTCTTTGTACATAGTAGTTAGTTTAGTTTAGTTGAGTTTTACTAGTCTTAGTTGAGAGTGTTAAACTGAAATATGTTTGACTTGGGGCTGAATTACCTTTAATAAACTCCTATATTTTGAACAGAAGTGGTGAATGTATTCCATGTATGTGCAGAAATAACTGTTTGACCATGATTAGTGCTTGAATCACTCTTTCATCTATTGTTCTAACACACAGTTAGTAGGACTGTGTGTCATAAACAGTATATAACAGCTGAAATAATATCTGGTTAAATAAGATATTTTACCACCCCTACAGGGGAGGGTAATAAACATCTTAAAGTATCAGAAACATAAATTCCCAGCGGGCTGGGAATATAAAAGAAAAGAAAATCACAACATTTATATGGCGTCCCTGATTGGTGGGCCTACAGTATCACAACACTGCAGAAATTATAATATTTTTTAAAAGAGCAATATTAAAGGAATTCTGATGGGAAAATATCATTACTACAAGACCAACTCCTTCATTTGCTAAAGCAACAACATCTACAACATGGTGCGGATACTCAAAGAAGGTGCACAGATACAGACTACAAAGGATATTAGTTTAGTCTGTGGGTACTTACTGACCTAATCTAGGATGGGTTTTGAATGAATAAGGATTTTTAAAAAGTTAAACAAGGCATGGTGTAAAAGAAAATATTGTTGAATACACCCTCCATCCCCACGCGCACTAGGAATGTAACAGATTCAACTTATTTATACAATAAATCAGAAAACCGCTGTTATTTGCTAACTGTCATGTTCTCAATGAACATGCTATCATCACGCTAGCAGTGTCTGTTTCTTCAGTTATTGTACATCAATATGGGTGTGTCTGTTTTCTATATAGACACAAACTGAAGAAAGTAAAGCAGTTTATCTTTAAAACTAAAACATGGCCGCCACTGCCAAGGCTCTAAGGAATGTGGCAGCCATATTGGATTTTAAGCTCCAAGTAGGCAACAATGAAATTGTTAAAAATTTTAACAAATGAAATTCTTTGGTGGGTCAGGTTAGCTATTTCATTGTATTTTACTAATTGGGAAGTCAGAAATACTAATGAGTTTATATAAAACAGTTAAAAAGAAATGCTAGCTTCACATGTTACACTGGGTTCAGTTAAGCTAGTTAGCTCATCATGCTGTATGCTTGTTTTATTGACAAATTTTTCCCATTTATTCTCTTTTTCTTTATTTTGGACTCACATAGGGTACACACATGTCAGGAAATAAGATATCCAGCCAGAGTCAGGAAAATTACAACAAAAAAATGTAAAGACAATTACAGCGACAAACCCCAAAGTGTGCCGTACAAAGCTTCATTTCTAACCTCGAGACAGTGTCTGTAAACCGGTAATATCTCAAGCACCAGTTTTTTTGTTTTTTGTTTGTTTATTCTCTGTGATTTCACAAACTGGTGAAGATTCGATCAAATCTGCTAACTAACTCTAAAGTAGCAGAGGAAAAACTTCATTCCTTGATCACTGCAGAGGAAATGTGTGGACAACTTTGATATTATTTAACCGGATTTCAGAGATTTAAAGACAAATTTAGCTCCTTTCAGGCTTTTTTTTTCATTATACTTAATAAAATACTCAATATATTAGGATTGACATTTATAGGCTTTACTCAGAGAGACGTGTTACATGAAAATCCTCAAAAAAGGAAGGGGGGAGGATTAGTCAGTGGAAAGGAAACCAAGAAAGAAGGGGTGGGTGGGAAAAAAAATCATCCAACCTGTCAAGTGAGTCACTTGATTTGACACACTCATGCTTTATTTATACAGGTATATTTATGGAAGCAAGGAAGGTGCAGATAAAACAAGGCTGACTAAAAGATCTGCCTCAGAGAGAAAAAAAACCACCAGAGCAAGATGGAAAGAGAGGCAAGCTCTGCAGCGCAAAAATATCAAAACATCGTCTTCAAATCTTTAAAAGAACTATAAATCATTATAAATCTGGATTTGTTTAAGCATTATGAGAGAACAGTGTCTTTAGAATTGCATTAGCAATAAAACAAATTAAAAAAAATTAAATTTTGATTGTAAATAAGTAATTTAAGTACACAAAATAGTTTGAATTTGTCAACCTGAAACCAAATAAACAATCAGCTTCTTACAATCGGCAGTTTAGCTGCGTATTATAAACATGTTTAGGAGAATATTGGTATTTTCTAACCATACTGGGCATACAGGTTCAAAAAAACAAGTCTGTGTGTTATGGTGATGGGGTACATTTAAAGAAAACTACATCTAATTTCGAGTAGAAGTTTAAAGACATCATGGAAAACTGGTCTCTATAACTATCTGCTCTCTAATGGGTGTTGACATGAAAACACAGGATGAAGGCAGGTGACAGCCACCTGCTTTTATCACCAAGATGAGCTCAATAATGTGTACGTACGACATAAGGCTTATTTCAGCCTCTCTAATATGCAATATCTATAGAGCAGAGCAATGCAGGATCTGATCTCTTCCTGCTGACAAACATCTGCATTAAAATCCATAACATCAAAAAAGGCCGACCAATAAATGATAAATGAATTAAAAAATAGACCTTTAATGTAAAAAGATAAATGCACAACACTTGTGAGAAAAGTAGTTATGGAGAAAATTACAAAATAACATTAAATACTGAAATAGAATTTAAAATGACAGTGTTTTTTAATGAGCTCAATATGTGTTTCATCAGCATAGTCTTTCAGATTATGATGTAGATTTTATTATGCTGATAATGTAAAAAGTGTATTTCTGAGAAACTTTTCACAAGCAGAAGAAAATGAACTCCAACCTGTAGGGAGATAAACTGAAGGTGAAGCTGAAAATGAACTGGTTTCAGCACTGCACTAAATAATAGCCGCTACAGGACGGACGAAGAGCAGCAGCTTAAAAAGCATTGCTGCAAAATCCACATTCACAACATGTTATATCTGAATATGGTCACAGAACATTCTGCCATTAAATGAATCTGTACTGAGTAATTATAAGAGATAAATCTATAAAGACTGGTATAACATAAAAAGTATATTTTATGTTTAAGGTTTTAAATGTATAATGTGATTATGGGGCTATATTTTATAAAGATTACAGTCCTGAAGCAAAAGAAGTGATTTAATAATCAATTATAGATGCTGAGATTATCCATAAACACCATGTCTGTAATTTATCAAGCCAACGTTAAATAATATCTCAATGCAGGGATGATTTTATGCTAAAGCTCCTTATGAGCAATGAATTTATCATTGTCAGTTGAAAAGGTCAATTAAGGATCTGTCCTTTGATGGATGTCTGTAAAAATAGCTGTTATGTGTTAAACCCATGCTTATGTGACGCAAAAGGCATGGTTGTTTCAGTTTCTAAATAAATCAGTATTAAATTGTTGACCTTGAGGTTCCTTTTTTTTCTGCGTATGGACGGTGTAATGTGCTGATTAAACCTGATTTTGCTGCTTTTCCCACAGTTCTTCCTTTTATTATTTTCGTTCTTCTGAGATTTGGATTTTTTTATGTCTGTGATCCTATGATAAAGGTCTAGTTTTTTTAAATGTTTTTACAGTTCGCAAAACAAAAATGGTTACTATCATAACGTTTTTTGAGTGAACTCCAAACATTTAGCACCTTTAAAAAATTATAACTTAAAAAATTAGTAGATTTCTACGGAAGAGGATTAGGGCCACTGAAAAAAAAAAGTTAACTGATTTCCTAATTTTATCTCAGTTCAATATGGGAAAAAGTCATAATTCTGACTTTAATCTCAGAAATGTGACTTTTTTCTCATATTATACTGAAATAAAATGTAAAAATTAAATAACTTTTTCTTTTTTTTTCAGTGGCCCTAATCCTCTTCCGTAGATATAAAACCTCAATTTTTAGGCCACATTATTAACCCTAAATGTTAAATATCACCGTCCTCCTAAACTAAAAAGGTGGGAAGAAGATGAGGTGTCGAAGAAGCAATCAGAAGGCTTATTCTAACTCCAAATTTGGAGAATTTATCACTTGAAAATTGCTGCTCAAGGACTCCAAACTGCTTAAACCTGGGCTTTTTCCAATCAGAAATCACCTAATTGTTCAAACAATTCAACATTTAAAAACAAAAGCTTGATTAAAATCTACTTCTACAAAGTATTGAAGCTCTTTTTTTGGTCTCTGGTTCCAGGTCTTCCTGGTCTTCCACCTGCAGACCCCTAAACGGAATATATTTATGTAGAAAATAAAAAGAAAATAAATAGTACAGTGAGTTTATGTTAAGCTCATATGGGTGATGATTACTCACATATTTTAAATATGTGATCATTGTTTAGCCTAAAGGTTTGCTGCATTAAGTATGCATTAATGCATTATTAGGGATTTCCCAAAGCAACCTTTTCATTTCCTTTAAGAGCTCCGATATTGCAGCTTTCAGTATTGACGGATACCAATATTAACCTGATACAATATAAACATGAATCCTATAAACTTTTATTCATTATTTTAGTAGTTTGGAATGTTATAAGCAACAGTAGAATAAAATAACTAAGAGATAACTAATAACCAATGGGTTTCATAAACCTATATATGAGTTGCAGTCTTTATATTCCTATATTTATTTTTTTGGTTGGTATTTGATCTATTTCCAATATCAGATCAGGACATTCCTACACATTAAATAACAAAACTTCAGGGCTGACCAAAATAGTATACCAGAGGTTTTAAAAACAATATTTTTTGCAAGCATACTATTTCATGTACATATATGGTTGCATATTCCATATGCTTATATTGACATATGCACAGAAAGTTGATTTATTTTGTGACATCAATAAAGTTACATTTATATTTCTATTCATGTGTCCATACATATGATATAAACCCCTTTCACAAGAAAGCATTTTAATTTGTTGTTGGTAAAAAAAAAAATCTATTCAACAGCAAAGATGACTTAAGTTACCATCCACTAATAGTTATACATATATATACTATTTATGCTTCTTTATTTATTTTTTGGTGAATTTCAGGGAAAATGTTACAACTCCACCTACAGGCCTGGAATGGGTACTGCAACATGTTATTTTCTGGGAACAGAAAGTGATTTCCAGAAGATGTAAAGTATTTATTAGAAGAGTTATATAAAGTGAAAACACCAACATTGTTTTAGAGTAGCGCTGCTTTTACGTCTTTGATCCTAAAAACCTAGAAGTTGGAGTTTACCTAAATATCATGTATATTTTTATGCATGATAGAAACTGCTGGGGGTAGAGCAGCAATACTAACTTCAGCTCAGGGGTGGGTTACCCTTTAACAACCATCTCTGATTCTTTTATAAAATCACTGTTTAAATAGCACTGAACCATTCAGCACTGTGAGAGAAAATCATTTTAAATCTCTATGAGCTTCTTTGTGTTATTGGAAAAATGCAGGATTGTTATCCTGCATCATTTTATTACAAATAAATACATCTAAATTCTGTCTTTGCTTGCAAATTACTAGGAATTTTATAGAAATAAAGTTTTAGACAACAATAAAAGCAAACTTATAAATAGAACCCATGCTGTTTAAGTGATATATAAACATGTTCAGGAGCTTAAAAACAGCAGGAGTTGCCATCAGCTGTTTCTCCTGCCATGCACCCTGTCATCTCCTCTCACCTGAAGCGCTCCTGACCCGCGGTGTCCCAGATCTGCAGCTTGATCCGCTTCCCGGGCTCGATCTCCACCAGCCGGGAGAAGAAATCCACGCCCACGGTGGGGTCGGACACCTGGGCGAAGCGACCCTCCGTGAACCGCCGGATGAGACACGACTTGCCCACCGTGGAGTCCCCGATGACGATGAGGCGGAACTGGTAGAGCCATATGGCCTCCATGGCTGCGTCGCTCCGCGCGCTGCTGAGGACTGCTGAGGGGGGAGCGCGCGGCGGGCGCGTGCGTCAGCGCGAGCTGGCGTGACAGACAGAGAGCATGTCCCCATTAGACCATTATCTGTTCACTGGGTTTGGTTTAAACACTGTTCTGAGAGACAGTTTCCATAAGAAGCTGTTTGTTTCTTTGTTGTTAAAAAAAAGCTTTGAAACATTAATAATATCTTTATCTTTCACTCTGTAGTCTATTATTACAACACCAGGGTCAAATGTTTAGGGCATTGTGCTTGGAATCCATGGGACCCCCTGGGTCCCTGAGCAAGACCCTTAAGCCCACACTGCTCCCCGGGCGCCGCACAATGGCAGCTCACTGCTCCCCATGGAGATAGGTTAAATGCAGAGGTGAATATCTCCAGTGTGAGATTAATAAAGTTCAATTATTTTATCATTTTTATTTAAAACTACAATTTAAAGCAGAGGTGGTTCTAGTCATATCAGGGCCCTGGGCAAAGCACAGATTTGGGCCCCTCCTAGGGTTGCCAACCGTCCCTTGAAAAACAGAATCATTCCATATTTAAAAATAAAAGTACCTGTCGCGTATTTAGTGGAAAAGGTACGCGCTTTGTCCCGTATTACTGTGAGAGTAAAAAAATAGTCAGTAAAAAACTAATGGAAAATGAAGAACAAGGGCACATTAGATACAAAACTTACGGTAAACTTGTTCCCAGGCCCTGTCCTGCGTTGTGACCAATGACCTGACAACATATATGTAAAGACCCAGAATACCCTCATCCCATTGGTCGAGCCAAGTGTCGCTCACGGAGAAGATAGCGTGAGACAACAAAACAATATGGGGGACGAACGGAGTAATTTAAATTCTGATGCTTTGAGGGTGGTGCACCTTTGCATAGCAATGCTCCTCCTCCGGCAAAAAAATGAAAAAAAGACGCAGAAATATAGGGAGGAATGCAAAAAAAAGTCTGCGACAATGAATATAAAGCAGACTGCAAATATATATCTAATTCAATGCAGATTTGAGTCAAATAGTTAAAGAAAACATTTCACACACAAAGGGGGCCTAAAAAATCCCCACGCCATAATGGGTAAAGGTAATCGGGTCAGCTGGCACGCACATGAGGTGTCCCTTTTTTTTTCAGGGAGTTGGCAACCCACAGTGGAGATACTGGTCCAACCGCTTCCATTAGGTGCTTTTTCAAACATGTGGGCAGAGTACGGTTCTGGTATGGGGGTAAGCTGCCCTTACAAAAAAAAAACAACCTTTAGAAGGTCAGATAGTTACATGTAGCTGTGATCTTCATTAATCTGCATTCATCTTTTCTAATTGTCCTCAAACTATGTCAAAAGGTTGTGACGCCCTGGGCAAAGAGTCATATCAAATCTTTAACACAAATAAAAATGATTAGACAACTTTAACATTGAATTGTCCCACTTTTATTCTGGCTTTTATGGCTGTAATTTACCCTGATACCATTAGTGTGCAAAGTCTGGCTGCGCTTTAAAAAGCATAAAGGCCAAAGTTTAATTTTCAACTCTTTTATTTCCTATATATAATAATCTTTTGGCTAATTTACCCTGTTTTATTAAGGGGTTGGTTGCATATTTTATCATACAGTGGGAGGGGGGGATAGAAACTGTTATATGCTTTTTACCAGATGACCTCTCAGCTCATACTATCTTAGTGATTCTGCACACTGACATTCATCTTCAAACTGTGTTTTTTTTAATATTTTGAACATCTCTTAGTATAGCATGTTTGTAATTAAGTATTCAGCAATAATAATCCTATCAATAGCTTCATATCCTCATTATAACTGAGTATTTTTACCCCTCCTCAGCAAGTCAGTTAGGTCAAAATGTCAAGAATAAAGATAAAATGTTTATAATAAAGGTGAGATGTCAAGAATAAAGTTGAAATATAGTGTTGAGGATAAAATCAAACTGTAATAAAGGAAGTTGATAACAGTTTCCCTAATAAAGTGGATATTAATCTCATTGGATTTAAATAACGGGAGCTCGACTGCGTGCTGTCTGTAAGCGAACATCCTATGAAAGTGAGCTTTTTATTTATAGTTCCACTTTATTCTCCACGCTGTGTTTTTAATCTATTCTTAACATTTAAACTTAAAGAGAAAGCTTGTATAAAAATTCCTTCTACCTGTTTTTTTTTTCTTCCTGGCTGTAGCAATAACACTACATTGTACTTCATTGCTTCTGAGTCCCAACTACAATAAAACAGGATTGGTAGAAATCCACTTTTTTTTCTTACATTTTTGGGCTCATGGGGCTGTTCAAAAGCACATTGTTTTATACATTTGTGTTTATTCTGACTTAGATAACTGTAGTTTCAACCAAAAATCTTTAACAGACAGTTTGAAATTCATAAAACTTTATCATGTTTGGTAAACAAAAACAAAACAAACATTTTAGATGGTTTTTGGTTTGCAATCCTGTTGGTTTTAAAGCCAAACTACATAAAGTTCTTTAATAAAAATATGGAAACTGTGAAAGTTACACAGAGAAAAAAAGATTTTTACCTTTTTGAAAAAACATCTTTCTGAATAATCACTATATCTGGATGTATTTTGAAACCCATGACTGAGAAACGTCTGTTTCTTTTCCACAATGCACTCACTCCTCTTGTGTGCTATATACATTTACAGTATATTTATGTATCACTGCTGTTTCAAATGAAATTTTTTTGCAGTTAATCCAGGAATGCATGGTAAAAGAAGTAAAGGAGAGCATGAATTGGTTCTCTGTATTTCTGTAAACATCCTTCTGTGACTATCAGGCACATCTCTGCAGCCTAGCAGAGATAACAAATAAAAGATTTAGCCCTTGAAAGTAGAATGTATACATTTATGAGAAAAGTCAAAGAGAATTTATAGATTAGATTTCAGCAGTGGAAATTTTATAGCCTTCAGAATCTATTCTTCTTCTTATCACTTTAAAAAAGGCCACACTGCTTTTCTGCTCTCTTTACTTTAGGGAGCCTTGATGCTGTTTGTACAAATCATCTGCAGCCGCTGGGACTAGACTGCAGATAAAACTCACAGTAGTCACTAAATGCAACCACAGTACTCCTTTTATACTGATAAACTGATTGATTGGTTCATTGGGTGGCCCCCTGCCCACCAGCTCTAGGGCCCTATCATGTAAAGTTTTCAATGGGATCTCATTACAAAAACGAAGTAAAAGAAAATCCCATCAATGACTTCAATTTAAGATTAAATAAATAGCTGCTATCTGGTGAATTTGGATGTGTTGGATCTGAATGTGAGACCATCCTAAGCTAGAGCTGATCTGGACTAAAGCTTTTCTACCCCTTTATCTACTTAGATAAAGCAGAAACAGAAGGAGAGCGTCTGAAATCCACAAAAACAAAAATCGGTTGTGTTTTCACTTTTGAAATCAGGAAGCTACGGTGGCCCCAAAGGGAAAAATAAGAGATGCATTTGTGGTTTAGTTTTTGGAGTTCCAATAATTAAGTCCTGTTAAGGGTTAAGACATTTCCAAGAAAACTGCTGACATATTTTTTCTTGTGTTCCTCTTTTTGCCACTGATTGATCAGGAATCTGGATCAGATGTTGTGGGTCCATAACTGCAGACTTTCACCTTATTGTGAGCTGTTGACAAACTGAACTTTGAGCCAATGAGCTGCTTTAGAAAAAGAAAATGGTAGACTCAGCACCTGTAGTACGAACTCTGGAATACAAAGAGAAACTAAAATACAAGTGGGGAAATTCTTTATTTTTATTTAATTGTATTTTTACTGAGCTTTTTTGCACTGGTTTTTACAAGAAAGGTATTTTTTAACAGAAAAAGATCAAATAACCAAACTTCTAGAAATATTAAAAGATCTGCCGGTCTATTTTCTTTTCACTAAGATACTGTCTGTCTCTCTTTGAAGTCAGCTGGATTATTAAACACAGGTAGAATCTGTTTATGTTTGAAGGCAGTTGCTTGAGTTAGATGTGTTTAATGACTTTTATTAGTCTAGAAAGAAAAAAATAAATAACTGATCTCTTCTTTACAGTTCTGCAATTTATGCAAAGTGCTGTTACTGAAAATTAGTTGAAGCTTCTGCAAATTTTGGGGGGGAAAAAAATCAAAAAGGGATGTAAATACTTTTGCACGGTCCTGCATCTGTTCTTTCCAGTGAATTCATGGGATAAAAATATTAACAAGCAGGATTGTTTATAATGAAATCAAGCAGTATCCCTCTCAGAGGGTCGTTTAAAGCTACATGGATTCACCTCTACACATATTTTAGCTCCTTTTTTTAAGCTTATTAAATGGTCTGATGCAACCCATCAGACCATTTCTGTGAAGCCTCCCATCAGCCCTGGTCTCCAGTGGAGTCAGGTTGCACAGCTTAGTCAGTATGCAAACATTAGCAGATGAATCCCTGGTGAATATGAGCGCCTAAGGAGCTGCTTCTCCTGATAGGCCATGTAGAGCTCCATCCTTTCTCATGGAATAAAGACCTGAACAGGCTATTCTAACTAGTAGAATTATTTCAAAGTGTGCAAATTACTTTATTTCCATATTTATCAAGTTATTTAATGCACATTATTTTGGTGCAGTTACATCTTCGAACGTCATATATACTATTAAAGAGCGCATTTTATGATCAGTAGAAGCCAATAACAGAGACGCATTGTACTTGCAGGATGAAATGTGTCCCCTTTAGGCCGGAGTTTCTGCTCCTCCTCCCCTGGTTGTTCAGATCCAGGCCGATGAGAGCCCCATGGCACCGACGGGTCTGACTGGATCGATGCTCAGTAAAGAGGCCGGCTGGTTCGGCTACAGCAGGCCCCTGGAGCCCGGATCTGGCGCTTTCTCACGGTCAGGCCCCGCTGGACAGCCCGGAGCGCAGCGCATCCACAGCAGGTGCAGCTTCCTTTCCTTTACGCGCAGGACCAGACGGAGCCCCAGGTCTCAGTTTGCTGAGGGAGGGGGCAGGCTGTCAGGATGAGGAGGAGGAGGGGGGTCCAGTCTGTGTTTGCTGATTGTTTGGAGCTGATGAAATGGCAGCAGAGAGCAGCAGGGGCAGCATCATACAGCCTGACTCATCCCGCATCAGTACCACTACCGTAAAGATGAGCATAGGGACGCAACGAGAGCCGCGCGCCGACCACGAGGCGCAGAAAACTTTCTTTCTTTTACCAGAAGACATCCTAAAGCATCAATCCAACTAGGCCTGGTAATGCAGGAATTATAAATTCCTACAATTATTTCATTTACAAACACATCTGCCTAAAATTATAAAGAACCATTTAGAAAAAAAATGTTGCAAAATGACTAAATTATTTACAACTGAACATGTGAGTGAGATATCGTTATTTTTCGCGACGTTTTACATAAATAGAACTATTTATTTAATTATTTTATAAACATTTCCGCTGTACTTAATATCTAACCTGCACCTTTATTAAGGTCTTTACGGTGTCACGTCAGTGCGCAGACACGGAAACGGTCAGCTAGGGCGTTATGGTGTCTGGGAATTGTAGTTCCTTTTAATCCCAAACCAGGCTCTATAAAAAACCCCTTTGTTCCTCTGCTTCCTTGTTGCCAAGAGCGTTAAATGAGTTTTATTTCTTTTTTTGGTCCTGTTGTGACGTACACAAACATTTCAAACGTTTATTCAACTGTTTATTTCAGAAAAG